TAGCGTTTTAGGTAGGGCTGTAAATGAACTGAGTCAAGCCGAATTTTGGGTTGCTCGGGTTCGATCGGCTCATCATTGCTTGGGCTTGGTTACAGATCACCTAATAAAAAAAATTTATAACCGTGGATCTCTATCTTTGACGGGAAAAATATCGCTGACAAAAAAGGAAAAAAAATACAGAACACATACATCTTCAAGGTTTTATCGATTCAAGAAAGAACAAAATTTTAAGTTTTTTAGCGGTTTAGGTAGAGCTGTAAATGAACCGAGCCGAGCTGAAATTTGGGTTGCTCGGGCTCAGCTCGTCATCTTCACAGAGGTGCTCGGATGAGCTTGGCCTAACCGGGCTCAGGCTCGGTTCGTTAAATTTTTAACAAGCCAGCATGAGCCTTACGGGCTGGCCTAGATAAGGAAGGGGTTTGGGCTAAGGTCTACCCTTACCTTTTTCGGAGAGTGAACACCAATAGCAACAGCAAGTACAACAATATATTAAATGTTGTATCTTTTGGAGGCTCTGTTAAATACTGTATCTTTTGGGGTGGAGGTTGCATATTGGGGTAGCCTTTTTGGTTTTGCAGTATCATTGTATTTTCTCCCCTAGATGGGGCACCATGTAAATTCTCCCTATTATATACAAGCTTACCCTTTAACTAAAATAAAAAAAATAAAAAATAAAGGACAACAATATCCCAATTCAAATCATATGTATAGAGCTTTTGGTTCTCTACCTTTGCATTCTTCTTCGCATCAACAATTTTGTGCATTACGCGTAGTGCTTCTTGCAGGAAGACTCAGGCTCGGCTCAGTTACAGCTCACCTAATCAAAAAAATTCATAACCGCCGATCTCCATCTCTGACGGAAAAATATCGCTGACAAAAAAGGGAAAAAAATGCAGAACACATACATATTCAAGGTTTTATCAATTAAATAAAGAACAAAATTTGAATTTGAAATTAAACCTGATTTTATTATCTACAAATATTTTACATTACTAGATTTTAACAATAAATAGAGAGAAAAAGACAAGATAGAGTTGTGTTGTGGAAGGTTGTTGGCGGATTCATGCTATGGAGATGGTTCATTAGAAAGAGAGAGAGAGAGAGAAAGAGTTGTGTTGTGAAGCTGAGTTACCGACAATACATGCTATAGATCGAGCTGAAGAGGCCGCCGCGATTGACTCCTCCTTCTAGGGTTCATTTTTTACCCTTAACATTAGTAAAGCATCGTTGTACAAAAAGATATCTAATGGTTAAGATGAATATTGGTTGATGGGTTAATGACAATACCTAGAGAAAGGAAAAATTACTGTAAAAGGTTTAAAGTTTGTTTATTTGTTTGTTTATTTGTTTTTTTTTGTTTTTTAAGGTAAGAGGTTTGTAGTTATGTGCATGTGCAATATATACACATATATATTTATTTAGGGTATAAATAATTAACCATTGTGCTAATAGTGTTGTAGGAGTCTTCTTGTTTTCGTAGTACAGATCTTGTGGAGCAAATCAAGTGTATAATCTATGTTAGTGGGAAATCCAAGTGCTTATATTGTGTGGTCAACATGTGACTAAATCTAACCAACACCTCTTCAAATCAAGTGTATAATTTATGTAAGTGATGCCGTAGTGTTTATTGTTCGTCTCGCCGAGGCCTTCGATTCCAACCGATTGGAATCCCGTTTTGGCCATTTTTTGAGTTCGGGTTTGAAACCAAGTTAGGATTTTGGTGTGATCACCTTGTTATCTCCGACAACACCCCGAAGTTTCATAGGATTTAGAGCGGTTTTATTTCGGTGGGGATTTGAGATTTTCATCTTAAAATGAGATAGGGGATGTCATAGGTTTATATTTGAGTTGTATTGATTGTTTTATAAGCTTATATAACTTGTATGCATGCTTTTGTTCAAATATTAGAATTTAATTTAATTATTATTTTTGTATAGGATTTAATTCTAATGATTGTATATAGTTGGAATTAAAATTGTGACATGCTAGTAATTTAGGCCTTGGTATGTTTATTAACATATATTAAATTAGAATTATTTGAATAAGAATTGCAAATTTTATTTAATAATTATCTTGTATAAAAGTTTAATTCACATGGTTGTAGCTAGCATGAAATCAACTGGTAATGTGATATTAAAATAGGCCTTGGTATGTTCTTTAACTTATGTTAATTTGAGGACATTTGGAGTTGTTTAAGAATCTAGAGAAAATTAATTAATTAGTTTAATTAATTTTATTTTTAAGTGTTTTAGTCACTTAAATTGATAGTGGGTGTAATATATACTTGTGTAGATATGCTTAGACGTTGCATAACTTGTTTTAATATGGCTTAGTATATTTGAAAATGTATGCTTGTATGCCGTATAACATGCTCTGACATTATTTAGTATACTTAAGCATGTATACTTGTATGCCGTAGTTCATTTCAATTGCTAGTATAGCTTGAGATGATCCCTTAGTCCCATTTTTGACATAGACGTTAGGTGGTATGACCTTTTTGAATTGCTTCACGTTAATGTGAAAACCTTGTAAATTGTTAGTGTTGATGATGGATTCTGCGCAACCCGGATCTGATCTAACTTCCTGGATAGAGAGAAGAAAAGGTGATCCTACAAGCACCGGTGTGTTACCGGTGGAGTAGGCTCTGACGAATAAGTCAGTGTGCGAACTAATCTCTTAAGAGAAATCAAGAACTTGAGTTAGGGTTTTTTGCGTACCTCCAAACGTTGATTACCACACCTTTTTTATAGGGCTTAAGTTAAGATGTCACGTAGAATTACCTTATTATAATCTGTAGACTTAATCCTCATCGTAATCTTTAATCCCTATCACAATCTTTAATCCTTATCGTAATCTGTAAAGCCTATCTCAATCTGTAATCCTTATCGTAATCTGCAGAGCCTATCTCAATAGTGCGTTAATTTAGCAATCTTCCCTTAATTATGGATATTTAAATTATACATCCATCAGTTGCCCCCCATTTCGGAGGATTGCTTGTCAAACCACCGGAACGTTAATTCCAAAATATCACACAATAATATATAGTTAGAATTGCAGAGCCTTGTCCATTAGCCTGACTTATATTGTCATTTCGCGAATACAGTCAGAGGTCATAGCATCACATTGGCAGCTCATATATGTGGCAAGCTCGTATATTTGTCGTATATTGGCAAGCTTGTATATTTGTCGTAGTGCCACATTGGCAGCTCGTATATGTGGCAAGCTGCCATGCTGGTAGTCTACCGTTATGTGCCAAGCTGCTATGCCATGCTGCCGTGGCAAGCTGTCCTGCTGGCATGCTGCCGTTATTTGGCAGGTTGCCCTGCTGGCATGCTGCCTTTATTTGGCAAGCTGTTATGCTAGTATGCTGCCGTTATTTGGCAAGCTGCTCTGTCAGCATGCTGCCGTTATTTGGCAAGCTGCCCTGCTGACATGCTGCCTTTATTTGGCAAGTTGTCATGCTGGCATGCTGTCGTTATTTGGCAAGCTGGCATGCTGCCTTTATTTGGCAGGCATGCTGCTTTTATTTGGCAAGCTGCCCTGCTGGCATGCTGCCTTTATTTGGCAAGCTGTTATGCTATCATGCTACCGTTATTTGGCAAGCTGCCCTGCCAGCATGCTGCAGTTATTTGGTAAGCTGCCCTGCTGACATGCTGCTTTTATTTGGCAAGCTGTCATGCTGGCATGCTGCCTTTATTTGGTAAGCTGCCTTGCTGGCATACTGCCTTTATTTGGCAAGCTACCCTGCTGGCATGCTGCCTTTATTTGGCAAGCTGCCCTGCTGGCATGCTCCCATTATTTGGTAAGCTGCCCTGCTGGCATGCTGCCTTTATTTGGCAAGCTGCCCTGCTGGCATGCTCCCATTATTTGGTAAGCTGCCCTGCTGGCATGCTCCCATTATTTGGCAAGCTGCCCTGCTGGCATGCTACCGTTATTTTATACTTGATTTTATTGACATCTTTAGTCGGCTCGTCCCTTTAGTAAGGAAAGTAGATTAAGACGAGTTTCACGTAGCTCGTAATAAGGTAAGTAGATGAATACGAGCTTCACTCAGCTCACCCTTTAACAGGGGAAGTAGATTACTATGAGCTTCACCCAGCTCACCTTTTAACGAGGGAAGTAGATTACTATGAGCTTCACTCATCAGGGAAGTAAATTACTATGAGCTTCACCCAGCTCACCTTTTAACGAGGGAAGTAGATTACTATGAGCTTCACTCAGCTCACCCTTTAACAAGGGAAGTAGATTAATACGAGCTTCACCCAGGTCACCTTTTAACAGGGGAAGTAGATTAATACGAGCTTCACCCAGGTCACCCTTTAATAGGGGAAGTAGATTACTATGAGCTTCACTCAGCTCACCCTTTAACAAGGGAAGTAGTCAACCCCTCATCTTTTTACGAGGGAAGTAGATTACTATGAGCTTCACTCATCTCACCCTTTAACAAGGGAAGTAGATTAATACGAGCTTCACCCAGGTCACCCTTTAACAGGGGAAGTAGGTTTATATGTGCTTCACTCAGCTCACCCTTTAACAAGGGAAGTAGTTAACCCCTCATCTTTTTACGAGGGAAGAAGATGAAGCTGACCCTTCATTCTTTTAAGGGGGAAAGAGGTATGGTCTTGACATGGGAGTCATCTCCTCTGATGGTTGTCTAGGGATGTTGGCAAATCATTGACACTTGTCGCACTTTTTAACGAAGTCAAGTGCATCTTTCTGCATGGTGGGCCAATAGTATCCTAGTCGGATGGCCTTGTTAGCAAGTGACCTACCCCCAGCATGGTTTCCACAAACTCCTAGGTGGATCTCCCTTAAAATGTAGTCAGCTTCCTCGCTAGAAACGCATCGTAAATGCGGCATGGAGAAGCTTCTCTTGTAGAGCACCCCTTTGATAAGCGTATACCTAGCTGCCCGCATCTTGACCTTTCGAGCTTCTGCTCGGTCTGTTGGTAGCACCCCATCCTTGATATATCTGATGATAGGATCTGCCCATTCCACACTCAATATCGCTTGTTGCACTTCAATTTGTCTCTCTTGAGATATAGATGGTTCTTCCAAATATTCCAGTGGTATATTCTTATTGATCTCAGGTTCAATGCAGTAGCTAGCCGGGCTAAAGTGTCTGCTTTCCCATTCTCTTCTCGTGTTATTTGATGAATTGAGAATCTTTGGAAGTGATTCTTTAATTCCTTCACCTTTTGTAGGTAACTCTTTATCTTCTCGTCTCGTGCCTCATATTCCGCTTGAACTTGTCCAGCGACCAGCTCGGAGTCGGTGTACATATTTAATTGCTCAACCCCTAGGGCAGTTGCCACTTTTAATCCTGCTATCAAGGCTTCGTACTCTGCTTTGTTGTTGGTTGCTTTGAAACCAAACCGAAGTGCGTACTGTATGCTTTCTCTCTCTGGGGAGACAAGAACAAGCCCGGCTCCGCTAACCTGAACATTAGATGACCCATCCATGAACAAGTCCCAGACTACTTCTGGGCCCATCTGCTCACTTAAACCTGGTTCTGTCGAAAATTGGGGTTGTTTCTCCTCTTCTGGAGGGGTAAACTCAGCTAAGAAATCAGCCAACACCTGAGCTTTTACTGCTGTTCTTGGCTTATACTGAATGTCGAACTCTTCTAACTTTACTGACCACTTCATCAGTCGACCAGAGCTTTCTGGCTTGTGTAAGACCTGTCGAAGGGGTTGATCTATTAGGACCACTATCGTATGCGCTTGAAAGTATGGTCTCAGTTTCCTGGTGGACATAATTAAAGCAAAGGCCAACTGTTCCGTCCTTGGATATCTTTCCTCCACACCCCTAAGTGTTCTGCTCACGAAGTATACTGGCCTTTGAACCCCTTCTTCTTCTCGTATCAGAGCTGAACTGACAGCTGTCGTAGAGACTGCAAGGTATATGTATAGTTCCTCTCCCGGTATGGTTCGAGACACTAGTAGGGGAGAACTAAGGTATTGCTTTAGTTCTTTGAACGCCTGCTTACACTCTGGGGTCCATTTCAATGCCTTCCTTAGCACACGAAAGAAAGGTAGACACCTGTCAGTTGACCGAGAGATTAGCCTACTCAAGGCAGCAATCTTCCCTGTTAGTCATTGTAGATCCTTGGTTGATCTTGGCGATCTCATGTCAATGACTGCTCGGATCTTCTCTGGATTGGCCTCAATTCCTCTTCTGCTTACTATATATCCTAAGAACTTTCCTGAGGAAACCCCAAAGGCACACTTGCTGGGGTTGAGTTTCATCTTATGCCTCCTAAGTACCTCGAAGGTCTCCTACAGGTCAGTCAAATGGTCTTCAGCTTTTAAGCTTTTCACCAACATGTCATCAACATATACCTCCATGTTTCTACCAATTTGATGTTTAAACATTGCATTCACTAGCCTTTGGTATGTTGCACCAGCGTTCTTGAGCCCAAACAGCATTACTTTGTAACAGTACAAACCTCTATCAGTGATGAAGGCCATTTTTTCTCTATCTGAGGTGTACATAGATATCTGGTTGTATCCAAAATATGCATCCATGAAACTTAATAGTTCGTGTTCAGCCGTTCCCTCAACGAGCATATCGATTCTTGGGAGAGGAAAGCTGTCATTCGGGCAAGCTTTGTTAAGGTCGGTGAAATCTACACATAGCCTCCACTTTCCATTTGCCTTCTTCACTAAGACCACATTTTCCAGCCAGTCGGGGTAGTACACCTCGTGAATAAAGTCGACTTTTAAGAGCTTTTTCACCTCTTCTGATATAGCCTGATTCCTTTCTGGAACGAAAGTCCTCCTCTTTTGTCTGACACGTTTAAAGTCAGGATTTACATTTAAGCGGTGCTCCATGATAGTGGGGTCTATACCCGGCATGTCTTCATGCAAATACGTCTCGATTCTTCCTGAGGAATTGAGTAAGTTCATCTTTGATACCTGGGGGGAGTAAAGACCCTATACTCACTTTTTTCTCGGGCTCACCATCACCAAGGATGACCTCTTCTAGCTCTTCTGTAGGTTCTGCTCTATGAAAGTCTGGTCTATCTTTCCCTTCCAGCCCTTCAATCGTAAATGCCTCTTGCGATTTTGTTTTATGAGAGAGGCGACATAACATTCGTGAGCTATTGTTTGGTCCCCTCTTAGCTCTCCCATACCATATTCAGTTGGGAAATGCATCAAGAGATGGTAAGTGGACGTGATTGCTTTCATGGCATTCAATGTTGTCCTCCCCAGGATAAAATTATATGATGATGGGCAGTCCACCACTACAAAGTCCACCATTACAGTGACCTGCTTTGGATTGGCTCCTGCAGTAACTTGAAGGGTAACTGCCCCCAGCGGATATACTTTGTCACCTGAAAATCCCACCAGTGGTGACTTCATGGGTCGGAGCTTCTCTCGGCCAATTTTCAATTTCTCGTACGCCCTAAGAAATAGTATGTCAGCCGAGCTACCATTGTCTATCAGTATTCGTCGAACAGTGAAATTAGCAACGACCATGGAAACTACCAGAGGGTCATCATGGGGCTGGTGAATTCCTTTGTCATCTTCTTCAGAAAAGGTTATGACCGGCTCCTCAACTCGAGGTAATTTTGTTGGAGGACTTGTCATTCCAACTTCATTCACCTCTAAAAAACTCCGAATTCTCCTAGCATGAGCCCTCCAAGCCGAACTTGTCTCACCACCACCAGCGAAGCCACCCGATATAACTTTGATCTCACCCATTGGTTGGTGTTGAGGAGGGCGATCATCTTGGCCCTCCCGGGCTGGGTTAGAGCCTCCTTTTCCATTTCTAGTTGTGAATTTGCGTAAATGACCTTTACGAACAAGGTTCTCGATCTGGTTTTTGAGGTCGAAACAATCTTCTGTGTTATGTCCATGGTCCCGGTGAAACCTACAGTATTTACCTAGAGACCTCTTTGTTGGATCAGCTTTTAGCTTTGGCGGCCATTTCAATGATGCGTCATCTTGAATCTGCAGAAAGACTGGCTCTACAGATGTATTTAGGGGGTATAGTTATTATACCTGCCTGGGCTCACTGGGCGGCGTGACGATCTGTCAGCCTGATTGTTTGAGAATTTCTTGTACTTCGATTCCTTTTCCTCCCTAGTGTTAGGTGCTGGCCTCTTCTTCTCCGACCTCTTATCTTCATCATCTTTGTTTTTTCGTGCATTCATAGCATCCTCAGCGTTCATGTGCTTCCACGCTCTAACCATAACCTCTGTCATGCTTGTAGGGGCTTCTTTTGATAAGGAAAATAGGAACTTAGAAGTCTGTAGTCCTCCCATAAAGGCTGTGAGGGCAACTTTGTCGTCCACCTCTTCTACCTGCAGTATATCAGCGTTAAAACGACTTATGTAACCACGGAGAGGCTTTCCCTTCTGCTGTTTCACATTCAATAAGTGTGTTGTTGTCTCCTATGCCTCTGCCCAGCGATGAAGTGTCCAATGAATTGTTTGCTCAACTCATTAAAGATTTCAATGGAGCCTGGCTTTAATTTATTAAACCAAAAACGAGCCCAACCCTTTAGTGTGGTAGGGAAAGCCCTGTACATAATCTCATCCGGTACGACTTACAAATACATAAGAGCTTTGTAGGTCTCTAGATGATCGAGAGGGTCCCACGTCCCATCGAAGCTCTCAAGAGTTGGCATCTTAAATTTGCTAGGTAGAGGACAACTCATAACATAACAGCGAGGCTAAATGCTAGGTTGGTCTTCTGTACCAAATCGTTTACTGTGGCCTGGCCCTTCCCTTTCATTGCTTGCATGACGTCTTTGACCCTAGTTCTCAGATCTTGCATCTACAGATTGAAATAAGTGACGTCTTCAGTCTTGTCACCAACACAACCAGAGGTACCTGCACGGAGCCTGGTATTATTCCGTTCAAGAGACCGATGGTGATGGCTTCTCTGTTGACCCCCTATTTGACTAAGCTCAGCGTTGTTGTCAATCCTACAGGAGTCATTATTGGGTACTTCATTATTCTCCACCTCATTAAGGTAGGCTAAGTGTTGTAGAATCATTGAATTTTTCTGGACTAATTGGTTCATTCCCTTATTTAAGGTTTAAACCTATTGTTCCAACGCTGTGACGCGTTCCTAATCGTTTGGGACGGCGGGGGGTTGCCTCGTCGAGTCCCTTTGATCAGAAGTTTGCAACGCTTCGTATTCGCCAGCAACCAGACCAGATCACAATCGAACCATACTTTATTTAGAGAACTAAAATCGTTCCCACAGACGGCGCCAACTGTTGATGATGGATTCTGCGCAACCCAAATCTGATCTAACTTCCTGGACAGAGAGAAGAAAAGGTGATCCTACAAGCACCGGTGTGTTACCGGTGGAGTAGGCTCTGACGAATAAGTCAGTGTGCGAACTAATCTCTTAAGAGAAATCAAGAACTTGAGTTAGGGTTTTTTGTGTACCTCCAAACGTTGATTACCCCGCCTTTTTTATAGGGCTTAGGTTAAGATGTCACGTAGAATTACCTTATTGTAATCTGTAGACTTAATCCTCATCGTAATCTTTAATCCTTATCACAATCTTTAATCCTTATCGTAATCTGTAAAGCCTATCTCAATCTGTAATCCTTATCGTAATCTGCAGAGCCTATCTCAATAGTGCGTTAATTTAGCAATCTTCCCTTAATTATGGATATTTAAATTATACATCCATCAGTTAGGTCTATGCATGTTCATTCCCTACGAGTAACTTGTTTATTCACCCCAAAGTTATTGGGTTGTTTTCAGGTACGGATACCTTGGTTTGGGATGCACAATATCCCTAGGACGTTTCGATGAGTTGAAGTTCTTTTAAATGTATTCTTGTTCACATGCAAGTGTTAGAATGCTCGAGTTTCACTCTTTAAGTTGTATTGTATAGTTAGGCCAAAATGTCATTTTTGCCTTAAAACTTGTAATGTGTGCCTAAGCACACTTTTTGACACTCATTCTATGTATATGATATGTGGCCAAGGGCTAAACTTCATTTAAAATCCATGTATACTCGTAAATGTTGAATATTGCCATTAATGTGAATAAATGTTTAACATGTCATTTTTGTACCGGAGTGTGCATTGTATATGAAATTTATCTTTTGGAATTCATTTACCATTTATGAGGTGTGGCCAACGGTCAAACACCATTTTGTTTTAGGTTTCACATTTTAGTTTCATATATTGCATTTTTGGCCTAAAATAGGAAAATCCGAGTCTTTAAGGGTTTATTTCCAAATCGGGTAGTGCAAAGTGTGCACGAGCACATTTACTAGGACTTATTTGATATGTATGAGGTGTTGTGGCAGCCCTGATTTTTCAGGCTAGTGCGTCCTATGATGAACCGTAAAATGACCCAAAACGGATTCAGAATGCGGAAGCGAAAATAGAAACAAGGTCTTTAGGAATATACGACATCCCTAAGACGCCAAGTGACCTTCCATTAAGTCACAGAACTTAAAAGAATCAAATGCGGAAGCTAAGATTATAAAATGGGAAGGGTACTTGACAAGGGATAAAATAGTCTTTTTAAACAAAACTTGATGCAACTGAGCATACCATTAGATAGGCAAGGAAAAATTAATAAATCTAGATTCAAGAATTACTTGATTCGGAGTCCAGATGAAAAAGATATGAAGCTCCAAAGTTTTATAAAAATTAACTTTTGGATTTCAAATCAGTGCAGCAAGGGTACTTGACAAGGGATAAAATGGTCTGTTCAGAAAGAATTGTATGCAACCTTGCATACCATTAGATAGACAAGGAAAACTTAATAAATCTAGACTCAAGAATCACTTGATTCGGAGTCCGGATGAAGAAGATATGAAGTTCCATAGTTTCATAAAAATCACCTTTTGGTTTTCAAATCAGTGCGGCAAGGGTACTTGATAAAGGGTAAAATGGTCTTTTTAGGAAGAAATGGATGCAACCGTGCATACCATTGGATAGACAAGGAAAAATTAATAAATCTAGACTCAAGAATCACTTGATTCTGAATCCGGATGAAGAATATATGAAGCTCCAAAGTTTTATAAAAATGAACATTTCGGGTTACAAATATGGGCAGTGAATAATGTTTTGACCGCAAACATCATTTCTGATTTTCCAGAACTGAGGCTAAAAACGGACTCTTAAACGAATTTTTCTGGAAAAACACGAAGACCATTAAAATCACATTTCTTCCCCGGCTACGACGAAGGGAAAAAAAAAAAGAGCTGTAAAATCCCTAAAATGCCCCTAGATCAGCATAGGTCAAGAGGGTTAAAAAAAAAAAACTGCTACATGCTTTTTTGAAATCTGTTAGAACAGAGATAAAAAACGAGGCCCTTAATGACATTTTATGAAAAAACATGAATAAGAAACCCTCCCTAAAATCGAGTTTTCTACCCGGAAGCGTGAAAGAAAACAAAAAAAACACACTGTGAAATACCTAGAATGCCCCTAGATCAGTAAAGGGTTAAAAACTCAGAAAATGCAACTTTGCACCAAATATACATTTGACCCTAAATGCATTTCTAGGTTGAAACGAATGTGCACACAAGTGTAATAAATGATTCTAAGTGTGCGGAAATGGTCCGCAGCTCCCGAGAAGCCCCGACTCAAAATCCGATCCCCCAACGGCCAAAAATGAGAAAAATAGACTTGAATTGGAAAATTTGAATTCCAAAAATATAAAATGGAGTCAAATTACCGTTTGGCCCTTGGTCACACTTCATACATAATTAATGAGACCCTATGGAAGAATAAAATTGGAATTCCCACACCCGATGCAACCATGGTGAAACAATGACTTGTGAGTTTTTAATATTTTCATAATATTTCATGAAGTTAAAAGTTACATAGGATACAAAATAATTTTCATTGGCCTCCGGCCTTATCTCATACATGTCAATACATTGCAAAAGATGTACTTATGTACATGTTACATATATGGAATCAAAGATACAAGTTTTGACATATAAAGCTACAAAATGGCATTCCATGCTAACATTTGCATGAAATGTAAACTTAAAAGTTACAAGTCATCCAAGGAATAATGTGCGTCTCGAACCAAGGTATCCATACCTGAAAATAACCCAGTAACTTCTGGGTGAGTAAACAAGTTATTCGTAGGGAATGAACATGCATAGACCTAGCATTTTACAAAATTATCACCTTAAGGTGAAACAAGTCAAAAGGGCTCATGCCACCTAACGTCTATGTCAAAATGAGACTCAGGGAGCATCCTAAGCTACCTTAGAGTATTTCTAGCATAAATCACATCATTCATGCAATTTAAACAATATAAGAGCACATAGTGTAACGTAACAAGACATAAGTATCCAAAGTTATCAACTTTTAACCTAGAATGCGATACTACTAAAACGGTTCATGCCACCAAGAATCTAAGTCAAGATGCTTACATAGGATCATTCCTAAGTCGTATCAACATGAAGCTAGCAACATGAATAAATATATCTATGAAATTAAACAAGGTTGGGACATTCCACACAACACAACAAGATTTAAATCTTCAAGAAATACTACTTGAAATTTAAAGAGGGAAATCAAGGGCAAAACATGATGTCTATGTAATTTAAACAAGGTTGGAACAAATCATATAACACGAAAAGTTTCTTAAATCTTCAAAGAATAACACTTGAAATTTAAGGAGTGAAATTGAAGATAAAGCATAATATCTATGCAATGAAACTAGGTTGGAACATTCCACATAACACGACAAGTTTTAAATCTTCAAGGAATAGCAACTTGAAATTTAAAGAGTAAAATCAACCAATGTGGATACTCAGATATCGCCCGGATTAAAACCGTACTTCTGGGATCACTTTAGGGCTACTAAACCATGGGTACCTTCCCCTAGTATGCACTATAATGTAGGAAGCTCTCTATCTCCCGTACTAGAACCAAGTCTTAGCCATGTCAATTCTTGATTGGTATCCCAAGTTCCAAAATCAATATGTTGTGCAACCAAGAGTGTATCAAGATACAAGTAATACATTAAACCACATTCCATGCACAACCAAGATATTAGAACACATAAGTCATGCCCTAAGTCCTCAACTATAATGGCATGTGAAATGTCAAGAACTTGTAGTATGCATCTACATAGACTACAAACTAGTATTTATAGCACAAGGAACCCATTGATGTAGATATACCACTAGTATAAGATTAATGATTTAATTATTTGTTTAACAACACTTGAACAATTAAATCATTCCAATGTAAGGGTGTAAGTTCATTAACTACATTAATGAAGTTAAGTTGCAACAAGTCATGATACATGATAAAAAGGCAAAAGTCCCATGAAATACAAGTCTAATTCATTAGTTT